TATATATATATATATATATATATATATATATATATATATATATATATATATATATATATATATATATATATATATAAGGCGGTTCATAAAAAACTTTATGGAGTTTCAATGTTTTTAAAGAACAATAAAAGATGCAGAATTAAAAGATATACAACATAGTCTATAGTAAAATAAAAAAGTATTTTTTATTTTAAGGGAAAATATGACTATTTTGGGATAAAATCCTTCTTTGATTACTGGTTTAGATATTTGGCGCAATTCACCATTGATGTTTTTATTGTTGAATCCCGTCGCTTCGTACCTACTACCTTCTGACTGTAACCTCCTTCACAGCACGTTCAACCATTTGGGTGTGACATTTAAATTTTGGTACAATGAGAGGTTCTGCTACCAGGGCCAACAATTCGCTATTTGACATGTTCCTTATCAAAGAAGGTTCTAGTATGTCAGTTTCATTCCACTTAATCATTAGCTGCCACATTGATGCTTTAAAATTCAGTTCAGGCACCAGGAAAAGAAGTACAGAAGAAGCTTAATCTTGGTGATTAGCTCTTGCTTCAATGATCGTTTGAACAGCATCTATGCGGTCTGGCTTATAGGATGAGGCTAGTTTAGCTAGCAAAATATTTTCTGCATGGGCATAAAAAGCGTTCCGTTGAATGCAGCGCTGTACGATTTTTTTAGCAGCTCCATCTTCTATTAACTCAGATCTTTGCATTAGGAAAAACAGATTTTGAGGACCATTAATTCCAAGCTCATAATATTTCACAGTAAACCACATCGGAGCATAAACAATCACAATATATCCAGTCAAAATGTTTAGAACTGTTGATGGATTTGTTGTACTCGCATACAGCCTACAGATACAGCATGAAGTTGTAAGCCACCTACTGTGGCTACATGGTCCAATCTTCAGACGCTCTAAATTCTTATCGAATTGCCCAAAAATGCGGGCTGATGTAATTTTCCACATGTATTTCTGGTCTGATGACAAATCCTTCAAAACTTCTTTGGGCATTTTAGATAGAGGTTGAGAACGACCAAAGCGTTTGTATTTGATGACAGAATAATTCAAGACATCTGGTAGTAACTTGCCAATAGGTCCAGCAAAAGTGTTTGCACCTGCAGTTGGACCATCCAACTCAATGATGATGTGCCTTAATGGTAACTCATTCGCGTGCAGAAGACAAAACATTCCATTGTAAAGCACGCCCAATGCTTACTTCAATCAAATAGTTTATTCCTCCTTCTGCTCCAACATTTGTGTTGTGCCATCACATGCCAAGGGTTTAATTTGATCAATTATGTTTTTTTCTTGTAGAAACTGGACAAGAGATTTAGAAACAATTATAGCTTTACCATCGGTTGGTGATACATGACCCAGGAACTTTTCATCAGGGAGTGAAACTATTGTAACATGTTCCTCAGTTTTCCTTGATTGATAGTGTTTCTCACCTACTCTCTGTTGCGTTAAAGTCACATTTTTTCGACCTTCGTAACCAATTCTACAACACACCACTAATGGTACTGCATCGTCTTCTTCTAGTATTACATTAACAGCTTTGCGAACTTTTGATTTGTCAACTATTTTGGGAATATTGTATATACGAAGAGTGGCATTAACAATCGATACAGTTGCTCTATCAAAGATCAAATTACGCACCTTTGCTTCTGCTATCTCTCGAAGATCTCTTCCTCGACTCTTCAACTTCTACAACACTAGCAGTATTTGAGGCTGAGGTTGATGTACTTGGTTTATTCTGGAAGTCCGAATCTATATTAATATCCGGACTTGTAGTACTGTTATCTTCCTCGGAGTTTTCGTTCTCATCCCTGCCAATTTTCACACTCACGAAAGCAATAGTTTCAAACTGCGATTCTTTTTGTTGTCGTTCTTTTACACTCCTGGTGTTGTCGGCTTTCTTACTTGATTCTTTCTGCTGTTGTTTTCTTGTAGCCTCTTTATCCACTGTACTACTTATGATCATCTTTTGAATAGATTGCTGATCTTCAAGAAAATCTCTCTCCATCCTGGGAATATTCTCATTATCAATTACTTCAAACAAACCAGAAATTTCTTTGCGAAACTCAACTTTCTTATTTTTAAAGTAGTTTGAGAGATCATTGGAATTTGGACACTTTGGGTTCTTATACTTTCTGGCAGTCGGTATTCGGATTATACTTTGACGCTTTTCATAAACTTTGAGAACACGGTCCTTAATCGTGTCTTTTCTAACTGTTGGTAAGGATGCACGTTTATAAACGCTTTCAACTTGTGACACAATAATCTCTGCAATAATAGAATTATCAGGTTCTTTTTTTCCAGAGGTTTCTATCATCCATTTTTGTTTCTCATAAAAGAAGCTTCTAGCAATATCTAATTCTGTTGGAAATACGCTTACAGGCAGTTCTGCCGGCTGACCAAAGGCAAGCTGATCTGTTGCCATTCGGGTAGATATTTTTGTTAAACCTGTCATCATAATCTGTGAAAAAGAAAGAATATTGATATTAAAATGCATACTATGAGAAAAACGTGGATCAAATAAAGATGTTAGTCATGAAACTATATCCTGCATCTTTTATTGTTCTTTAAAAACATTGAAATTCCTGCTTAATATTGTTCAATTTGTAATAAAGTGAAAAATATTGCAGTTTTTTGGGCCATTTTCCTGTTGCGCAAAGTCAGAAAGCTATGTGTACTCCATTGAAGTAAATTAACAACTTTGGAGTGGACATTTTCAAAAAAAAGTTTTTTATGAACCGCCTTAATATATATAAATATACGCTATATATATATATATATATATATATATATATATATATATATATACATATATATATATATATATATATATATATATATATATATATATATATATATATATATATATATATATATATATATATATATATATATATATTTATATATATATATATATATATATTTATACGCTATATATATAAATATATACGCTAAATATATAATTAAAAATAGTTAACACGCTATATATATAAATGTATATATATATATATATATATATATATATATATATATATAATATATATATATATACATATATATATATATATATATATATATATATATAAATATATACATGTATATATATATATATATATATATATATATATATATATATACATGTATGTATAGATATATATATATATATATATATATATATATATATATATATATATATATATATATATATACGCTATATATATAAATATATACGCTATATATATAATTAAAAATAGTTAACACGCTATATATATATATATATATATATATATATATATATATATATATATATATATATATATATATATATATATATATATATATATATATATATATATATTATATATGTATATATATATATATATATATATATATAATATATATATGTATATACATATATATATATATATATATATATATATATATATATATATATATATATATATATATATATATATATATATATATATATGTATGTATATATATATATATATATATATATATATATATATATATATATATATATATATATATATATATATATATATATATATATATATATATATATATATATATATATATATATATATATATATATATATATAAATATATATATTATCATATTTATATATTTTTTTTAATTTTCATTTTATTTCTATTTTTATTTATACATATTAAAATTTATTATTTTATTATAAAAATATATTTTTTATATTAATTTTTATTTATTTATTTTATATTATATTTCATTTTTAACTTCATCTATTTACAAAAACGATTCTTTACAATAATCTAACCTAATTGAAACCTTGCCGTAACCCTAACCCTAAGCCTGACCTTGATACATGACCTTGATGCATGACCTTGATGCCTGACCAAACCAAACCCTTAGTCAATGTAGCAGCACTCCCTTGCGAGTCAGGCTTATTGTCAGTCGATATATGTACCTATAAAAGTTTCTTACGGGTGCATTTTTTTAAAAAAAAATTTTACGGGGACAAAAATTTTACGGGTACACTAAATTGTCCCCGATAATGCTATGTCCCCGTGTTTGTTTTTTGTAAAATCTGCCCCCGTAAATGCTAAACTATACAAATATATATATATGTATATATATAATATATATATATATATATATATATATATATATATCGTTGAAAAACTTTGTCTTTATGTTCAAACATAAGTTTTTTCCTATTAATGTTTGTCTCGGTCTTTTTTTAGCCTTTCCTCCACCTCCTTAAACTTTTTGAAATCTAACCAGAATCACTTGTGGCACGTTCAACTAACTTAGATGATATTTTCAACTTTTAGCACGTTTAACTATACTTTTAATGATACTATTAAATTGGTCTACTACTACTACTACTACTACTACTACTACTACTACTACTACTACTACTACTACTACTACTACTACTACTACTACTACTACTACTACTACTACTACTACTACTACTACTACTACTACTACTACTACTACTACTACTACTACTACTACTACTACTACTACTACTACTACTACTACTACTACTACTACTACTACTACTACTACTACTACTACTACTATACTACTACTACTACTACTACTACTACTACTACTACTACTACTACTACTACTACTACTACTACTACTACTACTACTACTACTACTACTACTACTACTACTACTACTACTACTACTACTACTACTACTACTACTACTACTACTACTACTACTACTACTACTACTACTACTACTACTACTACTACTACGCAACAAAACATAGTGCAACTTTACTAAAACTTTGCAACAAAACATAGCGCAACTCTTTGTGTTTTATCTTCATCTCCCTACTATTATTCTAAACAATAAATAGAAATTTAATTCCTCATCTGTGCAAAACCATGTTGTTTATAAACAAATACAAATCGATATTATTAAATAACTTTGTTTTTTATTATTTTAAGAGATAATTTTCATTTTAAAAATAATTTGATTCAAATTTCTAAAATAATGTGTTGAATAGTCGACAATCAAGAAGTTTATTTTTCAATAAAATGTTTCTTTTTAAATATTTTATATGCGTAAGTGTAGTAGCAGCTTTTCCGAAAAAAATTAATAAGGAAGCATTTTCATGTAAGTTAGTCCGTTTATATAGTCGATAAATATTTGAAGTAATTTTAAATTAAAGATTTATTAGTTTTAAAATGATAGTTTAACCATGTTTTTCTCTGCACAATTCTTTATAAACCATTTGTAAATTGTCATATTAGTCGAAAAAGGAAGTTATATATTCCAAGATGATATGCTATTTTCTGAAACTCAACTAGAGGCCGCATTACGTGGTGGAGACTTTGAAACACCCAAAGATTCTGAATATAAAGAAGGAGTTCAGAGCGGAAAATCCACTGTCGGTGCATTTGTTCTTAAGTGGGATAACGGGATTGTTCCCTATCAAATTGACAACAACGCAAGTAAATAGTTTTATTTGTTTCTTTAAAAGCTACTTTTATTGCAAGCTAAACATTTAATAAAGTTTTATTAAAATATATGTTGTATTTAATACAATACATTTTATAATAGTTGGCTAATTGAAGTTGTAATAAAACTAAATAAATTTGTATTTTCATATCTTTAGAGTGTAAAGGAATTTTGTGCATAACTCAATTAGGTCGGCCAGAAAAAGCTATTAAAAGCGCCATTAAAGAAATCCATGAAAAAACTTGCATTAGATTTAAAGAAAGAACCGATGAAAAAGATTACATTCAGTTTACAAACATAGGGTGGAGCAAGTAATGTTGTTTTTTAAGTAGTTATTTAAAAATGCTTTTTTTTTTTTTTTTTTTTTAATTTTTTAAGACTTACCACGGATATAGAAATCCTATTGGTTTCAGTAACAAATTGCACCTAACTTATTAAATATAAATAAATGTTAAATTATTATTTTATGTGGACACATTAGATGCTTGTCCTACGTCGGTCGCATTGGTGGTAAACAAGAGCTTTCTTTAACAAACGGATGTAGCTCGCACGGAATCGCTCTTCATGAAATATTGCATGCATTAGGTGTGCATCACGAGCAAAGTAGGCCAGATAGAGACAACTATATTGAAATTAAAACCGAAAATATTGAACCGGGTACTTACTTAATTTTCAAATAAATTATGATATATATATATATATATATATATATATATATACATATATATATATATATATATATATATATATATATATATATATATATATATATATATATATATATATATATATATCTATATATACATATATATATATATATATATATATATATATATATATATATATATATATATATATATATATATATATATATATATATATATATATATATATATATATATATATATATATATATATATATATATATATATATATATATATATATATATATATATATATATATATATATATATATAAGGGCAGATCCAGACCATCCAGAAAGGAAGCGGGGAATAGGCCTTTTTTTGGTTTGTAGATCCAGACTCTAATAAAGTAGGGAAAGGGGTAACTTTTAGATTTGATTCATAAAACTTTTTTGTTAGTTTTTTTAGAAAACTAGTCTTACACTGTTTTAATTTATGTAACTATAAAATTACGTCATATTCACAACAGTCCGCCTTTTTTTGCGCCACACAAGTTTACTAACATTTTCAAATAATGTATTTTGTTAAATAAATAAGTTTACAAAATAAAATTATTTTCCAAATGTCTAAAGAAGAAAGGAGATGAGGGGGATATAAAGAAGAAAGTAGATGAATTACCCAATTGCTATGGATCCGCCCTTATATATATATACATATATATATATATATATATATATATATATATATATATATATATATATATATATATATAATATATATATATATATATATATATATATATATATATTTGCTTTATGTTTGGTAGAGTTTGTTGGTGCTTTGATTATGTAAAATTTATTTGATTCGATTGAAATTTTTTAGGTAAAGAAGGAAATTTTCAAAAGTATCCTTTTACAATGATAAAAACTTATGATTCGCCGTATGACTACGACAGCATAATGCATTATGATGAACATGCTTTTGGAAAAAGTCTTTGGAGTAAAACCATCGTTACTCGAAACGGAGCACAAATTGGTCAAAGGAACAGATTGAGCAAATATGACGCATTGACTCTTAATAAAGTCTACAACTGCGTGGAACACCTTAAAAACTAATATTTTTATCAATTAAGTAAAGACTCCTATGGTTTCTAACAGATTATTTTTTTGTTGTTGCATAAGTGTAAAGTAATACTCGATTTAAAAAAAAATTTTTTTTTTTGATCTGACAGTAAAAACAACATTTGATGTTGTTACTAAATTTACAGTCTATTTTGATTTAAAAAAAATTGTTGATACTGAGGTTTCTACTTTCGAAAGTATTTCTATTTTAATGTAAAAATAAGGAAAGTAAATAAAATTGTGTAACAAATACAATAATATATAAATCTAAAAAAAAATTTAAAAAAAAGTATTTTGTAAGAAAAAAAAAACTTTTAAATAGATTTGTGCTGAAAGCAATAGATCAGTTTTTATATTGTTTGTAACTCTTCGTAAAAGTTATATAGTTAGGGGCTGTTTATATGAATTAGGCTGTCCGGTTAACTAAACTGATTAAAAAATAAAAAAAAATATTTAGGGGAGTTCATGTAATTTGGGCCTCCTTGTAACTAGGTTCACCCTAATTTGTATAAGTTCTAAGCAATGCTTCTCAGTCAGGTAATAAATTACAAAAATATTTAGTTTTTAATCCTATTTTGATTCTCAGAGAGCTTTGCTAAGGCAATTAGTAATCGGAATTTGTAATTGGAAAATGCTTTTGATGGCCTAAAGTAAATTTATTTCCGCAGGTCTTAGATTGTTTTACAATTACAGAGGAAATGCTTTCTATAAGTTCTTGCATATTATATTGTTTGTTACTTAAGTTCTAAATGCGATGTTCAATTAGTCTCTTCTGAATCGTGGTTTGCAAATAGATGATGTTTTTCATGAGGCTATCATTCCTTGTACATAGGGCCATATATTTTGATTGTACCTTGGGTCATATGTGCGTAAAGAATTTGTTTTATAACGAGGTAGATTGTTAAATTTCAATTGGTTTAGAATTTTTTTTCTCACGGTTGTTTTGGGACTATTAATTTACGCGTAGCCTTGTTAATTTTGCTCAGAACTATTAGTCAATTTTGTTATTTATTTAGGTGTTATACTCAAGCACCACTGGTTAAGTTTGTTGAAAAAAATTTAAGATTAAATAAAATTTAGTCAAATTTATGTGTCTATATTTGTTGTCAATTTATTATGGAGTTAAACCTATTTTTCAGAGAGCAGTCACAGGTACAACAACTAGTAACCCTAGTTACAATTAAAAAAAAAAGCTTGTTGTACATAGGGCCACTATAGTTTAAGTCAATATACTTATACTTATAATATATTGTAGTAAAGTAACTAGTATGTGATCATATCAATTTCATCATTTTAGACAAGTCTGGAGGCTTAAATGCAGACATTGAAAAAATCCGGTCCTAGGTACACGAATTTCCCTACATTAAAGTTTTAATTTTAATATGAGTTACACAATTTTATTTGTGTTTAATTAGATATTTTAAAAGCAATCTGTAATGTCTTTGATTGAATACAAGAAATAGCGCGATTTATTTTATCTAAACAGCTACATTTATGAACTGGGCTGACTCACTTGTTTGCTTTTATATGGAAAAAAAATTGTCTCACCTGAGTGAATTTTCTTCTTAAATTAGGCGAAATCTCAGTTATCCAGACAAGCTCGTTTGTCATATAAATAAGTTAAACTTTATAAGTAACTATTAAACATGGAGAGATTTCGTTTGAGTGAGCCAGCGCAACTAACAGTCCAAAAACTAGTTTATTAACACCGTTATTTTATTAACAAAGGTTTTGTGTAGTAATATCTGTAAGTGTAAATAAATTATTAATACTATAAAAAAATATGCAGTTGTGAACAAAATAATAATATCAACAAAACAATTACTTAGATTTAATTTTGTTTAACTTAAATAAAAATTAATATAATTAAAGATTTTGGTGCAAAAACAACGTTTTTGTTCTGGAGAAAGAAAAGACTAATCAATTTTGAAAGTAAGGACAGGAGCACACAGAGACTTTATGATGTCCGGAGTATATTATATAAATTTTACTGGATGCCCTTCCCCCTTAACCACCACCAAAAAAATATAATAAGAAAAATAAAGTTACTACTTCTAGTATTCACAAAATATTTTTAAATTTCTGCATTTAAGACAGCACGAATCAAAAAATTAAACAGAACAAAGAAAAAAAACATTTCTGGATTTGACATCAAGTTTGTACTGTTTTCAACTAGACTTATATTCATCAATAAATTTCTAGTTTTATAGTATTATTTCTCAGCGTTCAAAAATTATGACCATATAAAGTTTAAATCACCCTCAATTTGAGGGGTTGAAAATTTTTGAAAGCTGAGAGACGCTGGTACCAAACTCTGAAACAGTAATGAAGATTATTTTCCTTCATCTGATGTACGTTTCGTATCAGTTCGGACTTAACAAACAGTAAAGAATCTTTATTATAAAACGTAAAAACCATAAAAGTCAAAGAGCTTTTTTTTCCCAGCCTCCAATCATCGCAATATTTTGCAAACCCTTATTATTTGACATAAGTATAAAAAAACAAACGTTTGGAGTTTGCTCCATGTCCGAAAGTTAGCTATCTCAAACACCATAAAATAGCTGGATTTGTCACTGCTCAGAATGCAAGACTTCTTGATGCAACGAATAAATTGAATAATGGAACGAAAAATATTTTTCCATCGCTCAGTTTTGTTTGAAAAAGTATTCTCTAGGCTTGAATTATTCTCTATATGGTTGAGCATGTTATATAATGCCGTTTTGCATTCTTAACGCCTTCGGCGATAAAGGCTACACGATTGATGAGACTTAATTTTTTCAACTAATTTCCTCCAATTGTCTTAAATACTAGATTTGGAAAGATGTGGTTCTTTGAATCTCTTAGAAGGTCAGCATGGCTTAGTTATAGTTCTATTATTTAAACATCGTTTAAATAATAGAACTTTTTTTGAATTATAGAAGAATTTTATACCCGCACCCAATCTCTAAAAAATGTTCTAATGGTATAAATAAATAAATCATTATCTAGTTATTATCTCTCAAGTTTTGGTGTTAGAACAATCGCTCTTTTGCTCAAATTTTCAACCTTTTTTTATATTTTTGACTTTAATACATCCATTGACTTTGCAACTGTTTACCACTTTGCTGATGTTATTTTAAATGCGATCTCAATAAATCATTATCTAGTTATTATTATTTTAATTGAATAAAAATAATAAATTGTTTTTATCTTAACTTAGTAATAATAATATTAATAAGTCATTATTCTTTTTATTATTAGTACTGGTAATATTATATATTTCAATAAATAAAAAGTTAATATTGCTTTATTTAAATTTAAAATACATAATCATTAAATAACTATTTAGAAACAATAATATCTCTTGACAACCAAAACCTTTTCATTATTGCAAGAAATCAATGTAAAGAGGTGATATCTGATGCTAAGCTCTATTATTCCATCATTATACCTTAAATCTTTTTCGATGAGGAGTTCTTGGTCGTCCTTAGTAGCTTCAGTTGGTCGGGCCTGGTCAGTTTTCACTACCGGTTACCATATACACCTCTCGATCTTTATTTAAATGATTTTCAGAAAGACTGACTTGGTTCTGGTGCACAGAATGCACTGAACTGACACTCCAACTATCCTTACACAATAGTTGTGATTCGTATGAAAAACTTGTTGGATCAATACTACTTTCAAAATCTCCCAATAGCTCCCAACCAAGATCTTTGAGAGTCCGCTCGTTTTTTTTTTTCAGCAGCATTTATTACTCTTTCTTTTTACGTCCTGCCTGAAGGCTGCTTCCGTTTGGTTGAAGAGCTGATTGTATTATGATTGGTTTTTATCTTATATTTAAAGCACAAAACTATAGACAATAAAACATAATTGCAAAACCATTACCTTAAAAATTAATTTCGCATGAGGAATTTTTGCACGAATGGAATAAAAGCGTTAAACTTAACATAGTTAACATAAAAAATTGGTACGAGAAACTACGAGCAGTTTAAAATTATATAATTAGTTTTAATAATTTATTAAATATACGGGAATAAAAGTTAAACAAAAAGTAGTTAAAGAGCTAGTCAGAGGGCATATCATAAATCGTAAACACTGATTTCTAAAGATAAAAACACGTGGTCTTTAAGGGGCTATACCCCCATAAAATTTCAAAATTTTAATTTTTTTTTTTTAATTTTAACTATTTTAAACTATGCAGAATCATAAAATTTGTTTTGGATGAATCAGATTATTCTTTAACTATCTTAAATTGTCTATTTAAGTTAACCACCTCTTAAGTGTTTGTCTTAGCAACGCCATAGCAACGCACTTAAACAGTTTTATACATCATACTTTTACCTTAATTTCATCCAAAATAGTGTTACACTTGCAATGCCTAAGCTTGAACAACTTCTTGATGCGTTTTTCTAGAATTTACCAATACCTTGGTACATCAAGTACGACAATATTATTCAGTTCAGTCAGTTCTTGAGATTTTATTAGGTTAGTTTAATTAGTAAAAATGGGAAAAGCTTGTCGAGTTAGGAGATGTACACAAACTCATAAAAAAAGGAAAAAGTTTATGGGAAATGTTCAAAATTCTGTTAATACTGTTATTGTATCGGATAGTACTAATATCGAATTGCCGACAATAAATCCAAGTGCCCCTAACATCACTTGTGTTACTGAACCAATTTTTGAAAATCCACTTAATGTGTCAGCTTTCAGCTCATGAAATCGAAAACTTAGAAGATGCAATTCTTTCAAAACCTGCCATATCTGGTTATCGTATAATTGATGTTGCTGTTTTAATGTCTATTTTAAGTTCTGTTCTTTGTCCAGAGTGTGGTTGTTCAACAATCTCACTAAGTGAGAGATATACTCAACGACGTGGTTTATCATCCTTACTATATCTTAAGTGTATGAAAAGAGGTTGTACTATTTTCAAAAGTTCTACACTTCTAACTATGACAATTAAAAAGGATTTGATATCAATAAACGAATAATTTATTGTATGCGATTATTAGGTCATGGATATGCAGGCATCAAAAAATTTTGTACCATTATGAATC